CATCCCCACACGCTGTGGTCTCTTCCTACCAGCACGCAATGCCTGGCGCCGCACGCCATTCTAGAGACCTGATCCTCCCATCAGTCCACGGAAGAGGGAGGGGGGGGGGGGACAGGGTCGACATACCTTCACTCTAGGGAGGGGCACCGGCGTGGGATGGACCTTGTCCTTCAGAGCTATGAGGAGTACTAGACTTTCCGAGAGCATGTACCTCCAGGTGGCCCAGCCCGAGCCTCCCGCCGTTAGCCAGCCCGACTGAGAACAGCTCGCCAGCAAGCGACTGGTGGCCAAGCTCAGCTCGGGTCCAGATGGGGTGACCCGCACCTGGAAGACGGAGAACGCGTCGCCGCATGCTGCTACTCCTGTGCGAGGGTCAGCACGGGAGGGGACGAGGGGCGAGGGGAAGTCGAACGTGGAAGCTGCTGGTTGCTCTGAGCTAGTGGGGACCCTCCGTAGAGGGAGCTGGACGTCATGACTTGCTGGGGCAGTGTGAGGATGAGATCGAGTGGAACGAGACGAGGAACCCCCCACCATCTTCGTAGCTGCTTCTCCTCCCCCTGCTCTTCCGACTCCGAGCTCGCCGCCCTCGTTGTCTCCGATCGCGTACGCCTGCGTCAAGAGTGCTCACGTCTCATGCCGCAGGCAGCATCGGCAAGACCTTGAAATCCACCACAAGCTGGTCCTCAGTTGGATCCCAACTCTCAAGATCGGCTTCATCGTCCATGTCTCCGTCTTCTCGCTCCCCCCTCTCTCCCTCCTCCTCCGCTTCCTCCTCTCCATCATCTTCCTCTACATCGTCTTGATCGAGTGCATACAGGTCCAACTGCACGAGAGATGCTGGTCTCGCCCTCCTCGCACTCCCCCAAGCGTCAAGGTCCAACGCAATCTCAGACGATTCTCCCCGGCCCATCGCGAGGTTACATCGAGTTCTCGTTCTTTCTCTGCCCCTGCTCCCGCTCCTGCTCCTGCTCCTGCCCCTGCTCCTGCTCCTGCTCCTGCTCCTGCACTTGCTCCTGCTCCCGCTCCTGCTCCTGCTCCTGCTCCTGCTCCTGCTCCTGCTCCTGCTCCTGCTCCTGCTCCTGCTCCTGGTTCCGGATCACCCAGTCCCTTTTGCAGACACCAAAAAAACCAAAAAAATCAAAACAAAGAAAATAGCCGTAAAACTCGGATGCCTCACAGCCCCCTGAATGGCCGGATCGGCGGATCAGTCTGGCAGTACTTTCAAGTAAAGCCTAAAGGGCGGATGAGATCGTACCGGACGGCCCGGTCGCGCGGTGGCGTCCGGCAGCGCCGGGGCCCGGACAGGCCGGGCCTGGGAGGCTCGGCGCCGGGCTTCAAATCAAGTTGCGGGGCCGGCGGTCCGGCCCGGCGCAACGCCGGTCCAGTACCGGCGGCCGTAGTAGCGTACTCAGTGATTTTTAACTTAACTTGAGTAATGAGCCTACGGTACTCCGAGCCGTGAAAGCGGCCGGGCGGCCTGAGTCAGTTATTAGTAGTGACGCTGCGGCCGGGTGACGGTTCACCGTTGGGGACGTGACAGAGGCTCGCAGCTGAGCCCCGCCGTGACTCTGCCCGGCGGGCCGGGAGGGCCGGGCTCCGGACCGCCGGGCCGGAGTCGGCGCCGGTTCGAGTCAGCGGCGGCTCAGGCGGCAGCCGCGGCTCAGCGGCTTTACTCGCCCGGCGCAGTGGGGCAGAGTCACAGAGAGGCGTGACTTTAACAGGTCTTGAACTTGAGGCGATACCGTCCGAGTCATGGGGTCCTTCAAGGCTATGGGAGGGGTACATGATTAATGATTACACACCAGAGTGGTGGGTATGTCGTTGTGGACAAAATTATGGGGTGCTTCCCCAATTAAGGAATGGAAAAAGAGAGGGTGGGGGTACATTTGCTCATAACAAAGTAGGGTACCTGAAGTACATTTGAGATTGAGCGGGTAGGGGTCAGGTACTTCAGGGGGTCAGGGGTGGGGGGATGTGGCAACATGCAACCAAGGTGGCACTGATGAGCACCGTCCTGAGCACTACCCCCTATTAAACTACCCCCACCCCTTTCTATTTTGGTACACCCCTTACAAACAATGCAGTTTTGGTGGTCAATAAGGTACAATAAATTACCCCCACCCCTCTAATTGTCATTGATAACCCCCCATTTCCCCAATCCTATCTTTACTACCCACCCTTTAAGAGTCATGCATCCATTTTGAAGACGACCCACCTGTTTTGACATGTACCCCGATGATGTCTACCCCTACCCACCTAGATGATTACCGCTACCCACCTGATGATCATACCCCTACCCCCTATGATATACCGTTTTACTTGGAACATCCCTTCTATCGCTTTAAAAGGCGGTCCCCACCTTGAGCATTACCCCACCCACCAAACCGTTACTGACCCCACTGCTACCCTCTCTAGATTCACCCTACCCTATCAATTTTACCACCCTGCTGGATCACACCCCCATCAAACATTACCAACTACCCCTATTCCCCTGTAGTACCCCACCCTCACAATTTACCCTACCCCCATCTCGGAACGGCAAAATACTGTTAAAAGTACCCTGTCATTTGTGAGTGTACCACCCTACCCGTGGTGCAAGTGAACCACCTACCCCAGCCTAAGGAATCACACCCCAGTACTAGCAGAGAAAAGTACCGGTGGTGACTGGTAACCCTTGAGTGTGGCTAATTAAAACTCATTTTAGTGGCTTTTAAATGGTTTTAAAGGGCTGGGGCACTTCAAGAAGAGGGAGGGGAGCAGGGAGAGGGAGAGGGAGAGAGGGAGAGAGGGGGAGAGGGGAAAAGAGGGAGAGGGAGAGGAGGAGAGGACGGGAGGAAGAAGGAGTAGAGAAGAGCGAGAAGAGGGGAGAGAGACGAAGAGAAGAGTGGAGAGAGAGAGAAGAGGAGAGAGACTGAGGTCCGCACGTCGGAGAGATCGTGAGCAAAAAGAGGAGGAGGATGCGGAAACGGAAGGAAGAAAGGTGCTCTGCAAAGTTAAAGGATTTAGATACTGTGACTAGATGTAGGAAAGATGGTGATTCTGATGGTTCGAATGCCATATAACTGCTGAATTCTCTATTTCTTCTGCTGTTGATTTTAGTGTGTAGAAAGAAGGAATCGGCTTGTGTCCAAGATGATGTCTGCCATCCTCAAAGCTAGCTTTCTCCTCTTTCTCCTGTTTGTGGTCCCTGTCAGTTCTTCTTCACTGGCTAAAGGTTCGCACTGGCCATCATATCCCCACTGTCTTTGCGAGCAGTTGTCAAATCCCTATCGGCATTTCTCCTTGCATGTCGCAGCATACTGATCTGCTGTGTTCTGCAGCAATGTCCTCCTACAGTTGCATCTGCGGAAAGGTGAAGGTGAGAACCTTGACTTGTCCTCCCTTGTACTTCTTTCTCATCCTCGTCCTCCTTGTACTTCTTTCTCATCCTCGTCCTCCTTGCACTTGTTTCTCATCCTCGTCCTCCTTGTACTTGTTTCTCATCCTCGTCCTCCAGGTTGAGTACAGCGGCAACCCCATGTTCGTCGCCTACTGCCACTGCGTCGAGTGCAGGAAGACTTGCGCTGCCCCCTACTTCCACGGCTCTGGCTTCCCCAAGGACAACGTCAAGATCGTCAACGGCGAGAGCACCGGCAGCTTCGCTGCTAAGCAGATGCCGCGTCACTTCTGCAAGGACTGCGGAACGTACGTGTACGGCAACGCCGGAGAGTTCTACGTGCTCCCGTGCGGCCTGATGGACAAGCCTCCTGCTGCTCAGTTCCACATCTGGACGAGCGAGAAGGCGATCCCTGTTCTCCCCGAGGACGGTCTCCCCCGCTTCGAGCAGGGACCCAAGTGAGGTAGCTGATGAGCATGTGATCTGAATGAAAGAACAACATACTTGAATCCTTGCCATCCCCTTCACCTCCTCCTTCACCTCCTCCTCCTTCTCCTCCTCCGCACCCTGGCCATCGCGACCTCTCCCATCATGCGAATGAACTTCATCTGACTCCTGGCGAGTTCTTACAACAAGTTGTCCAGTTGGTCGTTTCTCCTCTCTTCCTCCCCCTATTCACCATCCACTCCTCCTCCTCGTTCCATACACCCCACACACCACCTTGGCTGAGGGCGGAACAGAGAGTCCAGTGTACTTCCTGTACTCACAAACTCTTCCTTCAGTCCGCCTTGCGCGAGTGAGGGTCGAGCAGCACGTTCTTGAGCAGCAGGCTGGAGCCGAGGAGGGCCTGCGATGTACGTCATCCCCCATCCCCCTCCCTTCCGCTGCCGCTCTCACATCCTTTCTCCTCCGCAAGGCTTGCATCCTCCGCTTCCTCTGTCGGTCCTCGACCTCCTCGACCTCCTCGACCTCCCCGACCTCCTCGACCTCCTCGACCTGTTCGACCTGAAGCTCACTGGTTCCCTGCTGCTCCACCTTGATCAGGATCACGACATGTTGAACTCCCTCTCCCCTTCCCCTCACCCGCAGAATCTCCGACTGCAGCTCGGCAATCGCCTTTTGGACCTGTGGATTTTCAGCAGGACGAAGAGGGGGGGAGGGAAGGAGGTGGAACGAGACAAGAGGAGGAGGAGGAAGGAGACAAGGGGAGGAGGAGTGGGAGGAGAGGAGAAGAGAGATGTGGAAAGAAAAAGGAACGAGGGAAAGAAAAGAAGAGCAGAGGAAGAGGAATGGAGAGTGGGGAGTGAACGGGCCAGGAGTTCTCCAGGAGGAGGAGGCTTTGTCGACAGTGACCTTGGCCTGAAGTTCGCGCATCCTCGAGAGGAGGAGGGGAAATCTCTTGGTTATCCTCGTCCGAAGGTTCCTGCTGTTCTGGCAGCTGAGAAGAATGCTGAGGACCTGCAGGAGGAGGAGCCCTGCACTCTCCTGCTTCTCCTGTTCCTCCTTCTTCTCCTGCTCCTGCTCATCCTTCTTCTCCTGCTCCTGCTCCTGCTCCTGCTCCTGCTCCTGCTCTTGCTCTTGCTCCTGCTCCTTCAGCAGAGAAGATCCTTCATATTCGCAGCTCCAGCTCTCAAGAATCAGGATCAGATCCTCACAGACTTTCTGCGGAGAGAGGTCAGAAGACGCAGTAGGAGACGAGGAGGAACCTCTGCTGAGTCGGGGGAGGAGGAGGAGGAGGAGGAGGAGGAGGAGGAGGAGGAGGAGGAGGAGTCCGGTTGATGAAGGAGGGCAAAAAAGCGCATGAGCTCGTGAAACGGAGAGCCGAGCTGTTGGGTGAAGGAAGGAAGGCGGCGGACGAAGCTGAAAATCTCGTGCGAGCAGCCGGAGAGGAGGACGAGAGTGCCGACCTTGCGAGCATGGGCCTCTGGAGGAGGCGATCAGCGAAGAGACGACAAGGGAGGAGACGACAAGGGAGGAGACGATAAGGGAGGAAGCAATGAAAGGGGAGGAGGGGGTCAGTGAGAGAGAGCGAAGAGAGCCAGAGGAAAACAAGAGAGGGCAGAGGAGGAAGAGGAAGCAGATCGAGGGAGTGGCGGAGGCGGAGGGAGAGGGAGAGAGGGAGGGGGGGGAGACAGGAGGCTCAAGGGCGGAGAAACGTTGAGTGAGGAGGAGGGATAACAGGAAAGGGAAAAAGAGAGCAGAACGAGACGAGACGCAAAGGGAAGGAGAAGCAGCAACAAGAGCAGGAGTCAGGGGGGCAGGGGGCAGGAGGCAGGAGGCAGGAGGCAGGGGGCAGGAGGCAGGGGGCAGGAGGCAGGGAGGGGGCAGCACCAGGACTTGTCTGGCAGGTCAGTCTGTGAGCGAGGGATCGGATTCCTCCGGTCTTGAGGAGGAGGGTGTCGAGCAGATGACTGGAGGCGCCGAGAGCGAAGGAGGAGAGGACGCGGCAGGTCAAGATCTCCTCCTCCTCCACGGGCTCCGGCAGCGCCTCGCTCCTGCTGCCATTGTTACGCCAGCTCCCCTCCTCCTCCCTCGCTGACCCGCCTCTCATGTCTCAATCCTCTTCCGCACTCGCTCGTTCAAAAGGATCTCCCTACCTACTTCAGCCCTCCATTACAAGCTGAGTCGCTCTCCCCATTCCTTGAACATGAACCCGCCATCTGCCTGCTGCCTGCCTGCCTGCCTGCCTGCCTGCCTGCCTGCCTGCCTGCCTGCCTCCTGCCTCCTGCCTCCTGCCTCCTGCCTCCTGCCTCCTTCACTCACACAGCTTCCTTTCCTCCTCCCGCCGGCAGCGCCAGCAGGCGAACAGCAAGCAGCCTGCAGACTCGCTCGCTCACTTCCTCATCCGCCCAGACACTCCGCGCTCGCCGCCCCTCCTCCTCGCTGCAAGGGAAGAAACTTCTCCTTCCCTGTTGCTGCTGCCCCTGCGCCTCTGTCAGAGCACCGGACGAGCCTCCTCCTCCTCTTACGCAAGATGCAGCGGCGCAGACGTGGAGGGCGAGACAGCGGAGGAGGGAGGATGAAGACTCCTCCGAGCGGTCATTGGGGTCGATGAGGGAGAGGAAAGAGGAGAGGAGGGAGGAGGAGGCGTCAAGCTTGTCGAGGAGCCGAGAGCGGATGAGGAAGAAGATGTGGAGGACGAGGGGATAGCCAAGCTTTCCCGCGGGATGGGAGACGAGGGATCGTAAAGTTCGGATGAGAACTTCGTCCACTTGAAAGTCCCTCCAGCCATCCGCGATTCTTGCGTAAGTTACAACCTTGACAACCTGTCATGATTGTCATCTCATTTCTTTGCTACCATCATCACCATGATTATCATCTTTGTGATTGTTATCATCATCTCCACCATCATCATTCTCCTCAAAACAATTGTCAACCCCTCACCTTGACGATTTTGGAGAACACCTCCTCCCAGCTTGTTTCCTTCTTCTCTTTTTGACCGCACTTCTCTTCCATCAGCTTGCTCAGGCTTTCATCCGCGTTGCCTTCCATAGGCTCAAACTCGAAATCGTCATCGTCTTCCTCCGTCGCCAACTTCTCCTCCTCCTGCCCATCCTGCTGCCCATCCTGCTTTTCCTTCTCCTCCCCTTTCTCCTTCTCCCCCTCCTCCTGCTCCCTTGCCTGCTTCTGTTCCTCCAAGAAACCTCCAAGATCCTCATGCCGCACATCCGAGTGGATCTCCTGTAGCCACCTGCTCCCCTCCTCCATGCTGGACCCGCAAATGAGCTCTAGGGGCAGCAAGATGTTGACGATGATGAGGGAGGAAGAGGGAGCGAGCACCGGTCGTCCCTTCAGCATCCTGTCTGCAGCAGACCCTGACAGGCCGGAGTTGTGGAGGAAGACCAGACTCTTGAGAAGTTTCTCGCAGAGTCTGAACCAAGGCTGCCTCTGAAAGCGCAGCTGCGGAGACTTCAGTTGAGGGACGGGAGGAGGAGGAGGAGGAGGAGGAGGAAGAAGGGGAAGGGGAAGGGGAGGGAGGAGGTAGGGAGGAGGATGGTGAAGAGAACAGGATAGGGAGAAGAAGTTGGATAGATGAAGTGGAGACGGCAAACACAGCACCATGTGTAATCGCACCTGCCCCGATCCATTCAGCTCTGTCAGACTATCCATCAAAAGCATCGCTTCATCGCATGCTATCTGTGGCCAGTCACAACAGAGGTCCTCAAAGATTTCTTGCGCTGTTTTGGTGAACACAAGCTGCTCATCGTCTGCTGCTGTAGAGTCAAGGATCATATTTTAATCAGGACAACAGCAACAAGTGAGGGCGGGAGTACCGTTTGCTGCCGGATCTGGTTGAGCTGTTTCGACATCTGGTATGATATGTCAGGGTGTTCTGATGACTAATACAAAGAGAAAGCGGGTATCGCTGTCTCCCTCTACCCCGCTCTATTCTTCCTGCCTCCTCTGCCTCCTCCTCTGCCTATCTTCTCCTCTATCTTCTCCTCTATCTTCTCCTCCTCCACCACCTCCTCCTCTACCTCCTCCTCGTCATCTTCTTCTTCCTCCTCGTCCTCGTCCTCCTCCTCGTCCTCGTCCTCGTCCTCCTCGTCCTCGTCCTCGTCTTCCTCCTCGTCCTCGTCCTCTTCCCCTTCCTCCTCCTCCTCCTCCTTCTCCTCCTCCTCCTCCTCCTCCTCCTCCTCCCTCACCTTGTCCTACCCCGACAACCTTCCCGACCGGCCTCATGCTGATCCTGCCAAGCACGACATATGAAAGGACAGCAATTTCAACTTAGGCGAGTGACTAGGTGTGGGTTAAAGGCTGTCCCGCAAGGCTGAAAGGCAGTGATTTGTGGAGCTAATGGTGTTTGTTATCAATGTCTTTCTGCCTTCGCATCCTCGTCAGTTGAACCGCCCGGTCAAAATCTCTCGGGTCAACTGGAATGGCGGCGCAGGCGGTAAGTTAGTTAGAGCTCGCGGCAGCGTTCAGCGAGGGAGGGGGGAGGAGGAGGAGGAGGTGAGGAGGGCAAGCAGAGCCCGCCGTCACGGTGCAGGGGGCAGGGGCAGGAGGAAGGGGGAAGGAGGAAGGAGGAAGGAGGAAGGAGGAAGGAGGAAGGAGACAGGACAGAGGAGAAGGGATGCTGAAGTTCCGAAATAAGAAAGGAGCTGTCCGTCCCTATCGGACACAAAGTCAGTGCATATGTAAGAGCATCCCACGGTCCGAAAGTTCAATACTCTCGAGAGTCAGTAGAGGCGAGGGGGGGCGTAATGGTGGTGGAGCAGGGTAGGAGAAGGAGCAGGGGCAGGAGAAGCAGGGGCAGGAGAAGCAGCACTGAGGAGACTTCAGGAGCAGGAGCAGGAGCTCTTTTTCTGTAGCTTCACTGAAGAGCCCCTATGAAGAGGAAAGTTAGGAAAGATGATCAAGAGAAGGAGGACGAAGTGGTCCGAGAAGGAGGGGATGAAGGGGATCAAACTACGAGAACGGGAATACGACAAGGATGTTGACGATGAAGACGGGCTGCTGACATCCTCTTTGCAGACAGAAGTAGACGAGACGGTGAAGAAGCTTTCTGAGTACCCCGGATTCGTCGGGTTCTTGATCATCAATGCTGACGGCATTCCCATCCGAACCTCGTGAGAGTCATGCATTCTCCCCTGCCGACAACGATGTTCCTGCTCAGTGATCATTGATCAGTGATTTTGGTTGTTTCATGGCTGCTGATGACAATGGTGACTATGCATATGAAGTGCTCGTTCCTGCTCCTGCTCCTGCTCCTGCTCCTGCTCCTGCTCCTGCTCCTGCTCCTGCTCCTGCTCCTGCTCCTGCTCCTGCTCCTGCTCCTGCTCCTGCTCCTGCTCCTGCTCCTGCTGGGGAGTAGGAGGAGATAGGAGGATATTGTGTCATAGATTGATAACCCCAGGCTTTGTCTGATGTGAGCAGGATGGAGAAAGGAGAGGCGGTGCACTATGCTGGGCTCCTCAGCCTGCTTGCCAACAAGGCGCGCTCGTCGATCCGAGAGCTCGACCCGCAAAACGACGTGACCTTCCTGCGACTGAGGTCAAACAAGCATGAGATCATCATAGCGCCAGGTGGAGAGGCTGCTGGAGAAGCTGCTACTTCCTTCACTGATGCGGCTGTGGTTGCAGATAAGGAATACATTCTCATCGTTATCCAGAACCCAATCGTGACATGAGGCTGGGCGCTTCTGAACCATTTCCGTCAGCGATAAGATGTCAAGTTGTACCGTGACGGCTCTGTAAATTTCAGTCAAGTTTTCCTTCCATTGTTTCAAGTTTCAATGTGTGGTCCGTGCGGTCCGATCGCCGGAGGGACCGCACATTGAGACCGTGGCCACCGTGAGGCTTGAGGTGTTTGGACTCTCAACTTGACTCCGTTGCCGCGCAGCCTGCTTCAAGGCTTCCGAAGCATCATAGTAGTACCGTTGTGGCAGAGCCTGCAAGTCAGGGCGATCCGATGACTCGGATCCGGGGGCGCGGGCGCCCGCCGGGCCGGTCACCAACTCAGTCCGTTCACGGTTGGATGTTCAAGGCAACGGTCAAGTTGCTGCCTGATCCGATCACTATTCTGATCATGGCCGGCCCCCGCCGCTGGGCGGGCGCCCCCGGGGGCCCGGCCCGGGGCGCGGACCGGGCCGCCCGGAGACCGTACGGTGCCCGGCCATAGTACTATCACCCACCGTGGCGTGACGGCCCGGCGGCCTGACCGTACCGGGCCGCCTGGCAGCGGCTGCCACCGTCACCTAACGGTCACCGGGTTCAGTCTGGCCCCCGCGGTGACTCCCTGGGCCCCGGCCGCCCCGGCGGCGGCCCGGGCCCGGGCCCCGGCCCCAGTCCGGCTCGGACTCCCGAGTCCCGGATTCAGTGACTTGTAGCCCCAACTTGGCAAGCTGGCCAGCCTGCCAGCCTGCGTGCCTTTCGTCTCCTTATACCTGGCCGAGCCGTGCACGAACAGTTGAACGGACCATCTACTACCCCATCAAATCAGTACGGAACAAGGGGTAGTGCTGTTCCTTCTCGTGTAGGAGGAGTCCAACGGCGGAACTTGAAGAAATCAGTCCTGCCAGTACCCTACCCCCTTTTAAGCCAGGAATTGAGTGGGTGGAGGAAGCATCAGTCACCTAGACCCACCCTCCACCCCCTTTTCCTCACGGGATTTCTGCATAATGGAGAGGTGGGTCACACAGAACACCTTCAGATCATCGTGTGTCCCATTAGGACCCCCCCTTATCAAACAGAGTACCCTCCAATTCTCCTGGTATGACCCCACCCCACAGTTTCATGGTTATGCCCCTTCTAGAACCCGTCGATCATGACAAAGTACCCCACCCTATATTTCGACTGCTAGGACCCACCTGTTTGACCCTCAACTTACACCCCCCACCCTCTTCGATCACAATTGAGGAATACCCCCTCTTTTCTCTACAAAGACCCACCCCTTGACAACACTACCCGTCCATTTCCCAGGATGTTCCCTAAGGGAAAGGACCACCGGTTCCAGGATCGCGGCCCTTATAAGCCACCGCCTGCCAAGGATCCACCACGTCTGCTGCCATGCGCAAGGCTCTCCTCCTCTGTGGCGCTGCTGCTGCCTCTGCCTACGTCCCTGTCCCCTCCTCCTTCGGGATCAGACAGCAGGTGAATCTTCATCCTCTCCGATACTCCCGCTGGTGTTGTCTGTTGTGCTGCAAGTTCAAGATTGTTCTTGTCTTGGCTGCTCAAAGGTGGCTACTTTCCGCGGTGTAGAAGAGATGTTGCTGTGCATGTCAGACTTGGTTTCTTTGTGCATATTAGTCGGCCTTGTTATTTCTTTCTTAAATGTCCTTCCTGATCCAAATCATCCTATTCTGCACAGAAACTGACAAGTTCTGCACCAGACTGCCCCCGCTGTCGCCGCCTCCTCCTTCACCCCCCGCTTGAGGAGCTCCCAGCCTGTGGCCCGCCCTGCTCGCATGGCTCCCCTCTCCAAGGTCGTCATGGCTGCTGCTAAGAAGAAGTCCGTTGGCGACCTCAAGGGTGCGGACCTCAAGGGAAAGAAGGTGACATCTCCCTTCCAATCCTACTCTCCACCCCTCTTCCTGCTCCACCGCCCCTCCATCCACCTTTCCTTTTGCTGCCTCTACCTCCCCCGCCATGCTCGGGCTCACGCGTGTGCTCAGGTTCTCATCCGCTGCGATCTCAACGTCCCCCTTGATGGCAAGAAGATCACCGACGACACCCGTAAGATCACCAGCGCGCCCTCGTCCCCCCTCCCCTCACCCGCTGCCAGGCATCAGGGCCTCCGTCCAGACCTTGAAGTACCTCCTCGACAACGGTGCTCGTGTTGCTGTGAGTAGCTGCAGTGCCGAGGCCTCCAAGGGATCTGACGGTCATGCAGGTCTCTTCCCACTTGGGTCGTCCCAAGGATGGTCCCGAGGACAAGTTCTCCCTCGCCCCCTGCGCCACCCGCCTCGGAGAGTTGCTCGGTAAGTGGCGGAGGAATGCCGTGGGAAAGGCTGGTCGCTGATACTGCGGTGCCATGGCAGGCAAGGACGTGAAGATGGCAAAGGACTGCATCGGTGACGACGTGACCAAGCTCGTCGATTCCCTCAAGGACGGAGAGGTCAGAAAGAGTCTCCCCGTCCCCTCCACTTCCTGATCCCCTCTGCCCAGATCTGCCTCCTCGAGAACACCCGCTTCTACAAGCAGGAGGAGAAGAACGACAAGGAGTTCTCCAAGAAGCTCGCCGCTCCCTTCGACATCTACGTCAACGATGCCTTCGGTACCGCTCACCGTGCTCACTCCTCCACCGCCGGCGTTACCGAGTTCATCCCCACCTCCGTGGCTGGCTTCCTCCTCCAGAAGGAGCTCGACTACCTTGATGGAGCTGTTGCCAACCCCAAGCGCCCCTTCGCTGCCATCGTCGGAGGCTCCAAGGTTTCCTCCAAGATCGGAGTGATCGAGTCTCTCCTCGGCAAGTGCGACAAGCTCGTCATCGGAGGCGGCATGGTCTTCACCTTCCTCAAGGCCCGCGGCCTCAACGTCGGCTCCTCCCTCGTCGAGGAGGACAAGCTCGAGCTCGCCAAGTCCCTCGAGAAGAAGGCTGCTGAGAAGGGAGTCAAGTTCATCCTCCCCACCGACGTCGTCCTTGCCGACAAGTTCGCCGCCGACGCCAACACCAAGGTCGCCAGCGTTTCCGACATCCCCGACGGCTGGATGGGTCTTGACAACGGCCCCGAGTCCACCAAGATGATCCAGAAGGAGCTTTCTGACTGCAACACCATCATCTGGAACGGACCCATGGGTGTGTTCGAGTTCGAGAAGTTCGCCAAGGGCACCAACGACGTCGCCAAGACCCTCGCTGAGTGCACCAGCAAGGGAGCCATCACCATCATCGGAGGAGGAGACTCCGTCGCTGCCGTGGAGAAGGCCGGGCTCGCCGACAAGATGTCCCACATCTCCACTGGTGGAGGAGCCTCGCTCGAGCTCCTCGAGGGCCTCGTCCTCCCCGGCGTTGCCGCCCTCACCGATGCCTAAGAAGCTCGAGGAAGGGGAATGGGGTTAGCTAACTGAGTTCCAGCTGTGAACGCTGGGCTGAGTGTGAAGTGAGATGTGAAATGTCAAGTGATACGATGAAAGTAAACGATGAATCGTGATGGAAGTGAGCGGCGTCAACGTTTCAGATGATGAGAATGTGAGATGTTGCGATGTTGAACTGTGAGGATCATGGGATCGAGCTGGAGCGAGCAGGGGGAGGTAGCATGTTCAGCATGGGATTGGATCACTCGGCTCTTCTATCTACACTAGTGCTACATGGAAGTCCATGGTATGTCGACGACGATAGGGGGGCTGACCTGCCCGTTCCTGCTGTATGCTGCAAGGGAGTTTCAGGGGGATTGAGCAACTGAAGAGTGAAGGAGAAGGGACAGAGAGGGTCGGAGGGAAGAGCTGGAGGAGGGAGTTGCAAGGGAGGAGGTAGAGCTACGACGAGCAAGGGCGAGGAGGAAGAGTTGTCAGCAGGAGGAGGAGCAGACATGAGGAGAAGGGGAGGAAGAGGATTGGTGGGTGACCGATCTCGTAGGCCAGTCGCGCATAGTGAGATCCAAACCCGCAGACCATGTGACTGCACAAGTCGTGAGGAGGAAGGAGGGGAGAAAAAGGATCAGAGGAGGGGAGAGAAGAGGTGAAGGTACAGGAGAGTGTAGGGGGGGCGAGAACGAGGAAGGGAAGCGAGGAGGGAGGAGGGAAGGAATAAAGGGTATTGTAGACAGAAAAGGAGGATGGAGCAGCGGCCTCCCTTTTTTTGACG